GGGTTTCACCATGTTGACCAGGATGGTCTCGATCTCTTGACCTTGTGATCCACCCACCTCGGCCTCCCAAAGTGCTGGGATTACAGGCTTGAGTCACCGCGCCCAGCGAGATTGCCTTTTGCCTACTTCTTGGCTAAATTGTGTGTGATTAGCTGTGCTACCCACTTCTTCAGGCATTCCATGCCGCTTACCAACCACTCGCAGCAACTGGGCAGAGCTGGTCTTCAGTCTGAGTGGTTTTAGGTCTTGATAAGTAATAACTCATATTTAATGCTTAAAGATCCGGGATCAAAATCTCCAAAAAATAAGTTTGAAAAGCAAACCTCTATGAAACTGGACTTAGAACTGATTATATTTAAAAAGGTGAAATCTCAAACACCCTTCATAAGTACCTAAAAGCAACTTCTGAAGGCTATGTAACGCATTGATTAGAAGTTTCTGATCCTTGTGCATGACGCTATTTTAATGAACCATTAATTAAATTTGATTATCATCAGTATTTCGGAGAATCAGACAAAACCATCCTGTCCTTTGTTATCCCTTATGTTCATAACAGAGATTTAAAACTGGAAGATGGGTAATAATGGTGATCATATTTCAGATACTACTCTGAGGCTAACTAAGCTTTTACTGTGTATCAGCCTTGCCTTTAAGTGCCCTCTTTTTTTTCTGAGACGGAGTTTCACTCTTGTTACCCAGGCTGGAGTGCAATGGCACGATCTCGGCTCACCGCAACCTCCACCTCCTGGGCTCAGGCAATTCTCCTGCCTCAGCCTCCTGAGTAGCTGGGATTACAGGCACGCGCCACCATGCCCAGCTAGTTTTTTGTATTTTTAGTAGAGACGGGGTTTCACCATGTTGACCAGGATGGTCTCGATCTCTCGACCTCGTGATCCACCCGCCTTGGCCTCCCAAAGTGCTGGGATTACAGGCTTGAGCCACCGCGCCTGGCCTAAGTGCCCTCTTTTTAGCGGTACTCCATCCCCACCTTCTAACACATCTGCAGAGCTCTTTCTGTCCTCTCCTCATGAGGATATTATCCTGGAAAGAATATGATAAAATTTGTCAAAACGATGTATAGACTGGTTGTTTACTGTGTTCCCTCTTGCAGGGATATTTTCATTTAGTCACTCTTAGGACAAATGAGAGTCTGACATCAAGGTTTACTTTGGGTTAACAGAGTGGAAGAGGAAGGGATGAGCTTTCTGTATACCCTTGTAATACATCTGCAAATGACTGAAATTTAGAATCATGAAAAAGATTTGTAGATTAAATCTGCAAATGACTCAATTCTAGAATTGTGAAAAAGAATTCATGAAAAAAATGCTTGAAGCTGTTAGCAGAGTATTTGGCACATAGTGAATGGTCGATAAATGTTAGGATTTTAATTATAATGTTATCATTATGTGTCCCATTACCTAGTTCCCGAGGGCACTGACTGAATGGAGCATTCATTGATAAGTCCCAGGTGATGGTATAATCCACAATCAGATCTTGCTCAGAGCACATTGGTTTCTGCTCTGGACTGGTAACTAGAAAATAATGCATTTAGCTTTCCTGATCCTTGCTAATGGGAGCCAGCTGAAATATCCTGAGTATGACAATTTTAAGAACTCTGATAGAAAATTCCTTCAAAACTTTAGATGTATACAAGGTTCCCTGGAGAGGCCCACAAACCTAGAGACTTTGCTGAGATGTCAAGTTGAAATTGAAAGGATTCCAAGGCCAGTGAGTAAGCTGCCATGCTACCAAGCAAGACCAGGCAACTCCTGGCATGTCTCATCTTCCTGGTATTGCTATCAACTTGTTTCACATTCAGTCAATGGTATTATTATGTTACGTGTCCTCCAATTGCTAGTTCTGGTAATCCAAGTAAAGCTCTAAGCAAGTGATGGTTAGTGAGACAACAAAGTTTTAGTGTAACTTAGTGTGTGAAATATATAATTTGAAGTTGGTTTCGGTCTGTGACTTCAATGAGTCTTTTATATCAAACAAAGACAGTCAAAGTTATTTTGTGAGTATTCTCACCCAGTGCAAAACTTGTCCTTGGAGTGAAAATAAAATTTTGGTGAAAGATAAAAAGGCAATAGTTTGTCCTACAGATATCCTCCTGGAAACACAGGAAGATGTCTATGACATATATCTCAGATTATACATTGCAGCATTTTTTAGAGTGTGTAATATCAAAAAATTGGAAATAACTCAAATATTCATTAATGGAGGATTAATGAATATTTGAATAAATTACAGTAAATCCATCAGTGGAATAATATGAAGATGTAAAACAGAATGAGCTGCTCTCTCAGTATCACTATGAAAAGATCAGTAAGATAAAAAGAAAAAAAGCAAAGTGAAGAAGAGCATTGTAAAAACAGGTGGAAGAGGACGGGCACAGCAGCTCACACCTGTAATCCCAGCACTTTGAGAGGCCAAGGTGGGCGAATCACCAGAGGTCAGGAGTTCGAAACCAGTATGACCAACATGGAGAAACCCCATCTCTACTAAGAATACAAAATTAGCCAGGCATGGTGGTGCATACCTGGAATCCCAGCTACTCCAGAGGCTGAAGCAGGAGAATTGCTTGACCCCAGGAGGCAGAGGTTGCAATGAGCGAAGATGGCACCACTGAACTCCAGCCTAGGCAACAAGAGCTAAACTCCGTCTCAAAAAAAAAAAAGAGGTGGAGGAAAGAATATATACATATATACACATTTATACAGATTATCTCTGGAATAATGCACAAGAAAATGGTAAATTTAGTGGTAGGGGGGAATGGAAATTACTAGGGAACACAGGTAGTAGAGATAAATCTCACTAGATATACTTGAGTCTTTTTAATCTTTAATTTTGTGAATGCATTTTCTTCTCTAAAAAAATGAGTTTATTTATTTATTTATTTTGAGATGGAGTTTTGCTCTTGTTACCCAGGCTGGAGTGCAATGGCACGATCTCGGCTCACTGCAACCTCTGCCTCCTGGGTTCAGGCAATTCTCCTGCCTCGGCCTCCTGATTAGCTGGGATTACAGGCATGCGCCACCATGCTCAGCTAATTTTTTGTATTTTTAGTAGAGATGGGGGTTTCACCATGTTGACCAGGATGGTCTGGATCTCTTGACCTCGTGATCCACCTGCCTCAGCCTCCCAAAGTTCTGGGATATAGGCGTGAGCCACTGGACCCGGCTTTTTTTTTTTTTTTTTTAAAGAAAAGGCAGTAATCTGTAGGGTTTGAATTTATGCATATAGGAAAGAACATGTCTATCAATAGACTGGAAAGAAAACCAAGAAATCACATAAAACTTTTCTGTCTTTATGAATCTTGGAAATTTTAAAAGTTTCTAGAAATACCCTCTAGACATGTCAAACAATTATTGTGTCATGAACATTTCTGGCTATTTATGATTAGTTACATTTGTGAGTATCCTATTAGAGAATAATAAGGATGAGCTGATTGCTTAATTAGGATTATTTTCCCCATAGTATATCTTGATAGATCCCTCATCAGAAAATCATTGTAGTGAATATGGTGATTGACCTGTCAGCATCCATTCAATGTCACCCTTAAGGTTAGCTGCCATATAGGTGGGTTGCCAGTGGTTGGCTTAGATTAACTAAATCAATCACAGCAATTCAATTTTCCTTGCCAATGTTTACTTGGTTTAGAGATGGGTAACCTAAATTAACCTAGGAAGGACATTAAGTAAATTAAATAAGATAATCCTTTAGTTAATAATATATACAACAAAGCCACAGCTCATATGAAGAAAATAATAATAAATAATAATAATAATAATAATATGTTGGTTCATCAGTTTTAACAAACGTTTCATACTAATGTAGGATAATACTAGGAGGGGCAACTGAATGAGGAGTACATTGAAAACTCTGTATTCTCTTTGCATTTTTTTTCTGTTTATTTAAAGCTGTCCTAAATAAAAATTTATATAAAATGAGACTAAAACTGAAAGTGTTCATTGTCACTTATGGTGAAAATTTCTCTATATTTTCAAATTAAGAAGAAATTTTTTACTTTTTAAGATTATCCAGTTTTAAATTTTTTTTCCCTCTTTATAATTAAACTATTTCCAGCTTTGTTCTTTGTTCTAAATTTTTTGCTAGTCACCAAAAATTGCTTCTTCCATGTTACTTTGAAAATTAGATTATTGGGCCAATCTGATCAACTTAAACTATCTTCCGTTTCAAAATTTTTTTGTGAATTATTCAAAATTTTGGTGCAGAGTCTTACATTTTTCATCCTATCATGGTATAAAAATATAATAAACAAATGTGAATACAATTGATGAAAAGCATATAGGCCGGGCGCGGTGGCTCACGCCTGTAATCCCAGCACTTTGGGAGGCCAAGGCGGGTGGATCACGAGGTCAAGAGATCGAGACCATCCTGGTCAACATGGTGAAACCCCGTCTCTACTAAAAATACAAAAAATTAGCTGGGCATGGTGGCACGTGCCTGTAATCCCAGCTACTCAGGAGGCTGAGGCAGGAGAATTGCCTGAGCCCAGGAGGCAGAGGTTGCGGTGAGCCAAGATCGCGCCATTGCACTCCAGCCTGGGTAACGAGAGTGAAACTCCGCCTCAAAAAAAAAAAAAAAAGAGGCCGGGCGCGGTGGCTCAAGCCTGTAATCCCAGCACTTTGGGAGGCCGAGGCGGGTGGATCACGAGGTCGAGAGATCGAGACCATCCTGGTCAACATGGTGAAACCCCGTCTCTACTAAAAATACAAAAAACTAGCTGGGCGTGGTGGCGCGTGCCTGTAATCCCAGCTACTCAGGAGGCTGAGGCAGGAGAATTGCCTGAACCCAGGAGGCGGAGGTTGCGGTGAGCCGAGATCGCGCCATTGCACTCCAGCCTGGGTAACAAGAGCGAAACTCCGTCTCAAAAAAAAAAAAAAAAAAAAAAAAAAAAAAAAAAAAAAAAAAAAAAAAAAAAAAAAAGAAAAGCATATAAACCTTTTTCATCAATTAAGTTTATTTATTCTTTGAACTAATTTAATGCATGAAAGATACTGATAAAATGATGTACATTAAGAGGCTGGCTAACTTTCTTAATTTAATTTTTCTTATTTTTCATTTATCTGTCTTTTTGAGTCATTAAGAATACTAATCTTTGATTTTGGCAAAGTTCAGAAACTCAATTTTAACAGTTCTTTTAGATATGATCAGATCTACTTACAAGTTTCATACCAATCATAAATTCATAGTGTGGTGATTTTAAATCCAGCATATTAAACTATTAATTTACAATTTGGTCACATTTTCATAGCAACTATTACCTGTTTTTCTTCATGGATGCTCTGAGTTGTTATGGTACTTAGAAAATTGTATTTGTGATGAGATTCCTTGACAGATAATAGGTCAAGGTGAGGGGAATTTACTCACTTTAGTAAATGGGGAAGGGTCAGCAGATCCCCTTGCACTTATACAAGGTAGGCTTTCCAGTGTCTGCTAGACATTGAGTCTGTCTTCCTGGGACAACACTAGATATTGACTGACAAAAGTTCTCTCCCAGAGGTCAGATTAGCATGCTTTTTCTGCAAATGGTAAATATTTTGAATTCTGTGGATCATGTGGTTTCTGTCACAACTACTCAGCTCTGCCCTTGTAGACTGGAAGCAGCCTCAGGTTATTTGGTGAGCAAGGTTGGAGCTATAATTTGCTGATCTCTGTTTCTTTTTTAAAAAATCTCCAAGCAGATCACTCCATTTAAGGGATGAATTCCAGGATAGCTTACATTTAGTCAGAGCTATTTGTAGCTTGTGTTGTGATCACATGGTCTTTTATATCAGGTGGTAGAGGTACAGACTTCGGAGCCACAGAAACATGGTTGGAATTTCAGCTCTACTCAGCAATAATTGTGCAGCCTAAAGCCTCCTTCTCCAAGCTTCTTTTTCTCATCTGTGGAATGTGGATGATGACTCCTATGAGAGAAGGGTGCTGTGATGATTACATGAGATTGTATGTTAAGAGCCTGGCACAAATAAACTGTTCAAAAAATATTGATTTCCTTCTCTAACTCTGCAACAACATTCTCTTCTCTACACACATGTGAGAATTGGGCAACACCTCAGCCTCATCAATACACATTTGCAAACCCTCTCTCAGATGGCTGACCTAGGAAATTCAAAATTAATTCAAATGAGCTTTAATTTCAAACAATGCTATTTTTAAAACTCTCTTCTCAGTTTCTGGGAAACCATTTCGTGTAGTTCAGTTCTTGCAGCCTCCTGCACGTTGAAAACAATAGCCACCACAACCACAACATGTGATGAAACCATTTAACCAAAGGCCTTGATTCTGATAACTCTCGGGAGATAAAGGAAGCCTATATACTATCAGATTTTATTTTTATTTTTATTTATTATTATTTTTTTTTTGAGATGGAGTTTCGCTCTTGTTACCCAGGCTGGAGTGCCACGATCTCGGCTCACTGCAACCTCTGCCTCCTGAGTTCAAGCAATTCTCCTGCCTCAGCCTCCCGAGTAGCTGGGACTATAGGCATGCGCCACCATGTCCAGCTAATTTTTGTATTTTTAGTAGAGATGAGGTTTCACCATGTTGGCCAGGATGGTCTCGATCTCTTGACCTCGTGATCCACCCGTCTTGGCCTTCCAAAGTGCTGGGATTACAGGCGTGAGCCACCGCGCCCAGCCCTACTATCAGATTTTAAAGGGTCACTACTCAAAGGAAATTACATGGAAATAGTAACAAATTTAGATTTTATTTGATGTTTGTTATGACCATGTCTAACCTTTTAGAATTGGTTTTATTATAAAATTGCTTGGGGAATTCACTTTCAGTGCCATAGTAATGGGTTGCAAAATCACTACTACTTGAAATTATTCCCCTTTGAAAAGTTTAACTTAAAAATATACATACACATATGAGGCACTAGAGGCAGGAAGTACTTTCATAGCAGGAGAATAATTTTGTGTGTTTATTTACTTGTATAAACACACTTAGACAGTATAGAGTTAAGTATATTTAGCATCAGACTTTTTAAATTGGGGGATATTTAAGTCCTGCTGCAATTTTTAAGAAAATAAATTTGCTTCCTTACTAGGGAAACTGTTATAATTAATGCTAACACAGCTATTTAAAATGTGTAAAGTAATATTATATTCAAAGAACTAGGGTAATACAAAAGCAATACAACCCACTGATGATATCACCTAAGGGAATGGTGGGTGGAAAATGGAAGGAATTTGAGTCCTTGCGTGACTTCATAGTCTCCCCACAAATCTGTATTGCTCTTCTTGGGACTATAACATGAAGAAAAAAACGAACTTCCCTCTTATTTAAGCCTTTGCACATAGAGGTACACTTCTTGGTGTTTCCTTTTTTAAACAGCTAAGGCTTTACCCTAATAAGCAAGAACTCAGCTTTCTCTTGCTTTCGCAGTGGTATTTGCCTACCAACTTCCCCTTAAAACGTTCCACACTACTCCTATTTATCCCACCCACATGGGATAGCTGAGCTACAAGGGCACCAGAGAAGGACATTTACATTTCCACTTAGGTGTGGGATTCCCCTAAATGGAGAAGGCCAGTTATCTTCTGACTGGTCTTACAGTTTCTTTCAGAGTTCTCCACTTGTTCCCTTTGCCCTACTTGGGCTGCAGTTAAAGAAACTCTCCCTTGGTGGTTTGGCTGCTCAACCAATGGGCACAGCTCACCTTCAGGACTTTCCACCTTGCCTAGCTCACTTCCTTTTTCTGCCTTCTGAGCATTGCCTCTGTTACTTTCCAGATGCTAGATGATACGCATTCCCTTTTAAATCATACAGACACTTTTGAACAATAGTTATTGAACATGCATTTTGTAAGGTAAAACATAAAATGAGAAACAGGGCAAGTACCTGACTTTTTGGTCTCCTTGGAATACGCAAATAAAGAGGAAATTATAAATTAAAGTGAAAATTCCTGTAAATGGAATATATACCATGTATTACGGGAATACATAGGAGAGGTGCCTGACGCAGTGTTGCACGAAAGGAAGTGTGGTCAACCATGTCAAGTGAAATAAAAGCATGAAAAAGGTGAAATAAATGTGTACATTGGCTATAAAAAACTGTACATCTATGAATAAAACATCATTTTGAAACTTCACATAATTTCGGAGTATATAAAATTTAAAGTGAAAGTTCTTTCTCTCCCACGTCTTAATCAGCATACTGATTTGTTACTATTTGGTGTATATTCTTCCAGACATATAGTATGAAAATAGCTATATTAATATATTTATAGGCCAGGCGAGGTGGCTCAAGTCTGTAATCCCAGCACTTTGGGAGGCCGAGGCGGGTGGATCACGAGGTTAAGAGATCGAGACCATCCTTCTCAACCCCGTCTCTACTAAAAATACAAAAAATTAGCTGGGCATGGTGGTGTATGCCTGTAATCCCAGCTACTCAGGAGGCTGAGGCAGGAGAATTGCCTGAACCCAGGGGACGGAGGTTGTGGTGAGCCGAGATCGCGCCATTGCACTCCAGCCTGGGTAACAAGAGTGAAACTCCGTCTCAAAAAAAAAATATACATATATATATTTATATATATATATAATGAAGATACATCTATACATATATAGTAACAACTATATCTGTATTTATTATAGATAGTAAATATACATCTAGATTTACTATAAATATATATCTATAATAAAAACCTATTGACATACACGTTTTTATTCTGTAATAAGCTATTGTATACATATTACGTAGCTTCTTTTTTTGCATGTACTTGTTTCCTTATCAGTACATGTATAGTGACCTCATTTATAAAAATCACCGGGCGCTGTAGCTCACGCCTGTAATCCCAGCACTTTGGGAGGCCGAGGTGGGTGGATCACGAGGTCAAGAGATAGAGACCGTCCTTGTCAATATGGTGAAACCCCGTCTCTACTAAAAAAATAAAAAAAAAAAGTAGCTGGGCATGGTGGCACGTGCCTATAATCCGAGCTACTCAGGAGGCTGAGGCAGGAGAATTGCCTGAACCCAGGAGGCGGAGGTTGCGGTGAGCCGAGATCGCGCCATTGCACTCCAGCCTAGGTAACAAGAGCGAAACTCCGTCTCAAAAAAAAAAAAAAAGTGATAAACTGGAACTAGAGTTGATAAAATAGAAAAAATTGAGAAGATTTTTAAAAAGTAAACCTAAGAAATTGTTTCTTTTCTTTTCTTTTTTTTTTTTTAAAGATGGGGTTTCACCATGATGGCCAGGGAACTCCTAACCTCAGGTGATCCACCCACCTCAGCCTCCCAAAGTGCTAGGATTACAGGTGTGAGCCACCGCGCCCAGCAAGAAATTGTTTCTTTAATAACATTGGAAAACTAAAGTAACTTTTCAATGAATATTTTACTAGAGCTTTGCATCACAGCATACATAAGAGGTAAATATTTAATCATAAAAAAATTGAAGAAGGTATAGAAAAAAGTTTATATCATCCCATCATGAGGAAGGATTTCCTTAAGCAAAAAAGTAAATTTGGCCATATAAAAATATAATGTTTCTGCACTAAAAATACAGATAAAAGGAAAAGGCAAACCACAAATGGGAAAGACGTGTACAACCAATGTTGCAAAATCCAGGATTACTATCATTTGTTAAAACTCTGGTACTAGTAAAATCCCACTCTCAGCCTGGTCTGCGCCTAAACTCTCACAGATGAATGTGTCTGAAGAAAAATACAGAACCATGTGCACTGGCCAACTTTACATTCACTGTTAACTTCCTTCATGTGAGACTTTAGTTGGCTTCTAAAATGGTAACCAATTTCCCCATTTCATTCAGTCTCCCACATCCCCAGCGGCTATTTCTAACCTCTCCTTACACTTTAAACTTCCAGCATCTCCTCCCCATTGTCATTCTAAACTGATGATCTTGCTTATTTCATTGGGAATAGTAGCTATCAGAAAAGACCTTCCACACACTCTTACCATCATAGCAACTCAGCTTCCTGTTCCAGAAAATCCGTCTATGCTCCTATCCACCTCTCCGCAATGGTTCCAGAAAATCCGTCTATGCTCCTATCCACCTCTCCGCAATGGCCCTAGCTCCCATCCTCTCTCACGTACTCAAGGATAAGGATTTGTTTTCAGCAATTTGACTTTTCCCTCTCTATTGAATCATGCCATTCAGCCTACAGTCATGTTACTCTTTTTCACACTTAAAAAAAAAAGTCTCTTGTCCCACTTTTTCCCCTCAAGTGATTAGCCCATTTCTCTGATCTCCTTTGCAAAAAACTCTCCTAGGAGGAGCCATATGAACGTACTTATTTCCAACTTAAGAACTTCTGTTCTCTCTTAAGCTCAACTTAGTCTTTCATCCTTCACCAACTTCATTATCAGAGTCACCAATGACCTTCATTTTTGCTACACCCTGTGATCAATCCTGTTTCATCTCACCTGATCAGCAGCATTTGACACAACTATCACCCCCTCTTCCCAGAAACATTTGATTCATCTGGCATCCAACACACCAATCCGCTTGTTGTGTTCTTCCCGTCTCACCTCTTAGGTCTAAAATGGTCCTCCCGATCTTTCCACATCCCCTAAACTGTTCCACTATATTCCTCCCCATTTCTGTTAATGATAACTCCATCCGACCAGTTGCCCAGACCCAAAATCTGGAGGTCATAGTTGATTCATCTCATTCTCTTACGCTCCACTCCAGCCAGAGAGTGGGTCTGTTAGCTCTATCTTCCACACAGATTCAGATACTGATCACATTATACCAATGTCACTGCTACCGGCCCAGTGCAAGCCACCACTCATCTCAAGTGGATTAATCCGATACCTCCTAATTTCCTGCTTCTACTTTCGCTTCTGTTGCTCTCCCCCCAACAGTCACAGTGACCCTGTTAAGTCAGGTTAGTGTGTCAAGTCTTTGCTTAAAACACCGCAGTAGATTCCTGTATGAAATTAAGAAGCC